TTGTACCGTAGTAATCAAGTTTTAAACTATTAAAACTAGCCCTAAAACTAATTAATAATTGGAATTTAATTGAACTCTTTTTTAACTTTCCTCTCGAGAAGGGACTTATATTGCCTATTTTACAAAATTATAACAATAATTGCAACACGGGAACTTTTCATTTGGTAATTTATTTTTTTTTTGTCTTTTTTTTCTAATTTCAAATAAATTTAAAGGTAGACTGTATTGAAAAAGTTTAATAAAAGCTATAACAAAGAAAGATAATACATGAGTTTAAGAGAAAAAAAAAGCTATTTAAATTGAAACCACATTTTAATTAATAATTTTATTTTTTAATCTAGCATAAATCTACTTATTACTCGTATATTAAACGTTTGTGTTATATTGTATTTTATATTTCTACACAAAATGATTTTATCTAAAAGCGCCAGTCATTTAAAATTATTATATTTAATTATAGTTTTATACACAATATAATATTATTATGATAAGTTCAGTTTTACAAGCATATATAGTAAAAGCTATCACAATTTATGTTATTAGCTATATATATGTACGTACATAATTATTTATTTTATATACACGTTTTTTAATGAATATAATATTGAATTTCTTAAAAACTACAAAAAAGAATGACTGTACATCTACTGTTAAATTTGTTGAAAGGTTTATAATACATTTTATATTCACTTTCATTATACATATTAATTCAAAAGGTGAGTGCGGAAAGAAAGTGTTTAAGAACTCTTCTCTCTCCAGTTAAAACAAAGAGAGTATATGAGTTTAGATTGTAAAAATTTTGCATACTTAATAATGTGCAGTTATTGACGTGAATAAATGAAGGTCTTAATGCGTTGTGCAATTTAAACCAACTGTATTTTAAACAATTTTTAAAATAAACTGTTCCTAAAATAAATTTTTACCAAAATTTTATGTTTATTAAGAGTTATACAAGGAAAAAAAAGTTATTCTAGTGAAAAATGCCTTCGCCAATATCATCTTGTGTACAAAATATCATCTTTCAAACGATGTAGAAGTCAGGTTGACAGAATGAAATTAATAGATACATTTTTACTAAAATTTTTTGAAATATGCAAAGAAGATCAAAAATAATATTATAGATATTAAATGTGTAGATGTATGTATTATATCTAACAAAAACATTGGTGTTCAGATCAAAATGTCGAATGTCATAATCATTGTCAAAAACGGAATGTGCTTTTATAGAAAACTTCAATTTGCATTAAACTTCCTTTTGATTTTATAAATGACACTCTTAATATGCATAACTTTTTTTAGTTTTACTGCATTATTAAAACTATATATACATATGTACATAACGTATCCATAAAATCTTTCTAACTACATACTTTCTGTTAGTAGTACCTTAAAAAAATCATCGATGAATGAATAGGTGCGAATATGAATGAATAAATGAATGAAAGAGAATGAATAATAATATAATAAGAAAAACGTATTGTCTGAGGTCGCGATTTTTTTTCAATTTTGTTTTTCTTTCTTTTTTAGCGATTTGCAAATTTATTTTAAGAGATTTCAATGGTACATGTGTTACAAGTATATTATAGGTATATGTATGTATATGTGCATATTTATATTGTATGGTTTTCACAGGTGGTAATATTGCAAGTTTTAAGAAGTCTTTTTCTGGTTTTTTATATGAAGCTTTTTTTAATTTTTACATTTAATTTTTATTTTAATAAAATATTTTGATCTGATTTATTGCCACCTTGACTGAGTATATGTTTCGATCCAAAAAGTATTAATGATTTTTTCAAATATTTTTTTTTTATTTTATTATGAAAATTTTAATATTATACAAAATTTGTAAGACAGAGAGTGGTTAAAAAATGGTAAAATTTACTAAATGGTGATTATTGGAATTTTTTCATATTTTTCCTTGTATTTAAATTGACAAATTAATAATAATCTCAAAAATTAAAATACATATTTATTTATGTGTATGTAACGTATATGTAGTGTATAATTGTAATCTAATTTTAATATCTGAAAATAAGTGTAAAATTTGAGAAAATTTTAAAATTTATAATAAAATTTTTAGAATTTTATAATGTGCAAAGTAATAAATTGAAGATTTAAGAAAATAAAGCAATACCCTTTTAGCGATTTTTACAATTATAAATAATTACTTGCAGGTGTTTATCACAAGAATCTGCCATGCACTTTACTCAATAATTAATAATTTCATTGCTTAATAAGTCAAAATTTATAAAACAAGAATTTAAGAAAACCTGTAGAAAAGGTGAGTTAATTGAATGCTTCTTCATGTTTAATTTGCAACCATAATTATATGTATAAGTAAGACGACTTTATTTCGTTCACCAAACATTTAGCGTTCGGCCGGAAATAAGCTGAATTTTATTTTTTTTTTTAAATAAAAGTACACTTGTTTTGAGAAAAATTGGGCATTTTTTTACAAAAACTTTTAATAAAATCATATTTGTAATTTGTATATTTAAGCAGATATTATGAGTCTACATTCTATATAACATGTTATATTCATTACAAGTGTAAATTTCTAAAACTTCCGCACAAAAATTGAAGTTGAATCAATTATTTAGAGAAAGGAGAAAATCTACACTTGAACAGGAATTTACACAATTTAATTTCCCTACATACTAATGTTAAATGTATATTGACAAGAATTAGTTCGTAGCAAACTGGATGGTGCAATTATTCCAGATTTATTCTTATTCTTTTGTTAATTCTTTGTATATATATGTGGGTATATATAATAAAATAATAAATTTTTTAATAAGTTTTTTCAAATATTTTTATACCTACAGCTTATATTTTTTCAACACCTTGTATATTTTTTTTCATTCTTATTGATAGTACGAGTAGGTAATAAATAATAGTGTTTTAAATGTTAAGGTGTTTGTTTTTTTTTATAAGGAATTATTTTACATTTTTGTCAAAAAAATATTTCCCTATAACCATATTTTATGCAACAATATATTGAGTTTATTAATGCTAACAAGAATATAAATTATCGGTAGCAATATTCATACTTAATATAATGTTAATAATTTATTTAGTTTTGCTTTACTGAAAGTAAAATAATTGCTTTTAAATAATTTATGAGTTGCATAAGTTGCATTTAAGACAAACTTAAAATTTTAAATCGAAATGATCGTTCTGTAAATTCGTGCAATATAAAGTTCCATATAAAATTTTAAGTAAGATTTGAATGCGAAGTAGCAGTAAATGTAACTTAGAACATACCTTACAGTTAACATGCAGTAAATTTCGTACAACAGTCAATTTTAATGGATTAAAGACTTTTGTTTGGATTAGCATGTGTCGTGCATAAAATAATTCTTATTTTTAATTTGAATTTAATAAAATATAAACCAAGCATTTTGTATATTCGTGTTTCTCACAAATGTTTTAATTTCCTTAAGCATCAGGCTTAAAAGTTAATAAGTAATAAATATTATATAGCAATGTAAGTAAACTTTTAGGTTGCTGACTAGATTTTATTTTTACAATTTTATACTTAGAGGTAAGTAGTAGTCTATTAAGAATAATAATTTTTTTTTATTATTTTATTTAAAAATAAATTACAAATTTGCAATTAAAACCTTGTATAATTTATTAAAGTATTTTATAATTTTCCGGACTATTAATTAAATCGTGCAGATAAGAATCCAAAACATAATTAAATTATATTTTATTACATGCATTGTACATGTTTATTATTTTCAGCAACTCATATTTCTTATAAAAATTTAAAGGTCATCCGATTACAGTAATTGAATAAATTAAATTAAAATAATTATTATTTACTTTATTATATTAAGAAATTAAACTTACATACTTTAAGAGTTGGAATTAAATGATTTCTAATTATTCATTATTTCTATTTAAAACCTCCTTAGAATACAAATTAGCTTTATAACATAATGTATATTTTTGGGACAAATCACGTGAAAAATACCTGTAATGAATTTGCTTTAATCGTTTATAATATGTTTTATATTTATGAATGTTATTATACGCATGTGAATTTTATTGAATTTTGAAATGGATAACCAAAATATATAGACGGATTTCTTGAAAACCGGTTTCCTATACAGTCACATTTCGTTTATTAATGTAAACGGGTAAATTGCCTTCTTCTTTATTATAATGCCGTAACTTCGAAGTGAAGTAATTAACAACTGATTTAATAAAATTTAAAAACTAAATATTAATATATAATAATGTCATAAACTAAATATTTGCAGCCTCATCTCATTGCAGCCTGGTGTATCTCATTTTTTTTCTCACTTTCAAATAAGAATTCTCCATTTTTCTATACCATATTTCATCTTTCCAACAAGATTATTCATTTTTTCAATAGGATTTTTGCCTTTTTCCTCAAATTATCGATTGAATGTCTCACTTTCAAAAACAAAGTGAATCAATTTTGTATACATTTTAGAAAAAAAAAAGAAGTTCGCAATACCAAATAATTCTTCTCACTCTAAAATCACATCATCAAACATAATAATAGTTATTCACTTTCCTCCCGATTGCCTAGTAAAATAGCGTGATAGACGATCAGGCCCTTAGTTTATGTTAGTATTCAGAAAGTTGGAATTAGTTAGTCCAAGAAGTTTTATGTGATTTATTATTTGATGTTCCATAAAATTAGAAATTAGATTTTTTTAATATGAACTGTCAATAATACTTAAATACGAAATAAATATTAACCTTTATGTTACTTTCATTTGGACAATGTTTATTTAAAATAAATTTGAACGAAAAAATATCAACTGAAAGCAATACTTTCTTACGGTGTAAATAAGATATTATATCGGTAAACTTATTAAAGACACAAACCGGTAAATTAATAAGTTTTTTTTTTAAATAAAAGGGAAATTTTATTGTTTTATGGGTAATATGACATAATACCTAAGTTAATTAATGTCAAAGTAATCATATGGGAGGAAATGTCATAACTATTTATTTTGTTCAGAATTCGAGTCGGCAGGATTTATCCGTGAAAGATATATAAATTTTTGAATAAATTTTAATATTTAAATTTTTTAGAAACATAATTTTTACATAAATAAAGAATGATTTATTTTTTATGTAATATTTAACCTTGGTGCATTGACAATAATCGAAAATTATCAAAAGTTTAACAAAAAAAAATTTGTTTACATATTTGGTCAAATAAAAATAGATGTTTGCCAAAAATAACATCATGAAATAATGAACATATTACGTTTTATAAATTTATGGTATTGAAAATTGATGAATTCCAATAATATTGTTCTTAAAATAAAAATATAAAAATTATATTGCAATATTCATAATGTTACAAAGAAGTATTCAAGTAGCCGAAATTCTTAAATTCCGCAAGAGTATATTAAAAATTTCAAACAATGAGGTAGTATTAAATGAATAAATTACCAATTTTCACATTAATTGTAAAAAAAAAAAATTTAATTTCCGTTTAGATATCAAGAGATTTTTCATATTATTTAGTTAAACAAGGTGTAAATATAAAATTTTTGAATAAAAATTTAAAATGGAGAACATTTTCATCGAAAAACTCAAGAGACAAAATAGAAGCGAGTGCTGTTGCAGAGGAGAAAAAAGTTGGTTATTCAAATAGAGAATTGAATTTAGATAAAGGACCAAAAGAAAAGAAAACTGAAACCATAGCAACAAAAAAAGCGCAACAATCGTCTTTGGTTTCACCTGAATTTAGAACAAAGCCAGAACCTATAGAAGCCGATTCCAAAACTCCTATAACAAAAAAAATTGAGATTAAAACTAGTAAGGGAATATTATCGGTTACAACTACAGTAGAAGATGCTAAAATTAATGATATAATTCTTGAAAAAACATCTGCTAAATCAAAATCAACACCTATTGCAATTACGCAACCAGCAGCTGAAATGGCTAAAGCAGGAAAATTAGCTAGTGCAGTACCAACTTCTAAAGAATCAGAAAAAATTGAGAAGCCCAAAGAAACCGTAAGAAAAAAATTTTTGTTTTTCACTTTTGATCAATTAAAATCAATTTAAATTAAAAAACTATTTTACAAAATTATACACAATTATTCTTATTGATTTTTACAGCAACGTCTTCGTTGCGATCTTACCCGTTCCTCACTGGAAAGGAATTTTATCACTCCGACACGAGCAATATCCGATTTCCTTCTAAAAGCCAGCGACTTAGAATCTTTATCAAAAATAAAAAGACGATCACCATATGAACAAGAACCACCGATGACTGTTTATTGGAGAAAAGATGTTGAAGCAAAAGCAATCGAAGTTTGGGGATCCCGTGAAAATTTGTTAAGGGAATGTTTAAAAAGAGAAATCGAGAGAAAAAAATTTCAGCAGAGTAAGAAATTTAACTGACAATAAAATGTAAAGGTTAAATATAAAAATGTTTATAGATGTTTTTACTGTAAAAAGGCGACTTCGCGATTTTAGACGTGAAATTGGTATTAGAGCTTCCGCTGATGCAGTGGAAGACTTAGAGCTGAATGGTTTATCTGGAAAATCAGGACGTGTTGTTTTAATTGCAACAGCAATGTAAATAATTTTTACTATTTATTATGTATAGTCAAATGTTAATCGGAGCAATATTTCAGTAACGCCACAAATTTTGTGTTCAAAGTTTTTGCTTGGTTATATACAGGATCTCACAGTATGTTTGCGGAAGCCATCCATTCTTTAGCTGATACTTCTAATCAATTAATATTAGCATATGGAATTCATAAATCAGTTCAAGTAAATACAATTAAATATGGCAAATATATTGATAGTAGTAATTATATAGATTGATAATAGTAATTAACACTAATTCTAAACAGTAAGAATAATTAATATCAAATTACAGTCTGCCGATACTGAACATCCATATGGTTATTCTAATTGGAGATATGTTTCGTCTTTGATTTCCGGAGTGGGAATTTTTTGTGTAGGAACCGGTTTATCAATTTATCATGGAGTACAAGGTTTAATGCATCCTGAGCCAATGCAAGATTATTTTTGGGCCTTTTGTATTCTTGGTGGTTCTCTAGTTTCTGAAGGTGCCACACTTTTGGTAGCCGTAAATGAAATTAAACGTTCTGCTGCAAAACGTGGTATATCTTTTAAAGAATATGTTCTTAGAGGACAGGATCCGTGTGTAAATGTCGTTTTAACGGAGGATGCTGCTGCAGTAGCTAGTGTTGGAGTTGCTGCTACGTGTATGGCAATATCTACTTATACCGGCAGTGGAGTTGCTGATGCTGTTGGTTCACTATTAGTTGGAAGTATTTTAGGTTGTGTAGCGGCTTTTATAATACATACCAATGTCTCAGCATTAGTTGGAAAGTAAGACGATATCATTTTTTGAACCGTACAAAATTTTTAACAAAAGTAAATGTTTTTAAAGATCAATACCTGAAGATTATCTAAATAAGATTAATTCAGAATTAGAAAGTGATGTAATGATTAGAGCTATTCATGATGTTAAAGGTGTTGATATGGGAAATAATTTAATAAGATATAAGGTGATTTTTATAAAATTTTTAAATAAGTATGTTTTACTGAAAGTAATTGTAATATTTCAGGCTGAAGTAGATTTTGATGGACGAGAATTGACACGATCATATTTAGATAAGCAAGATTTGGGAGAACTTTTGAAGGTAAACGTCAATTTTGTATTAAAAATTTTTTAATTATAGAATTTAAAATATGGATTAGGTAGTGAAATCATTCCAAACAGTAGAAGAAGTTGAACAATTCTTACTTAAACATGGCGAAAATATCGTTGATTTAATGGGCGGAGAAATTGATAGAATTGAAATGAAATTAAGGGTAAATTTTGTATTTACTTAAATAATTTCTTTTAATATTAATTTTTATTTTTTTTTTTTATATTTTAGAAAAAATTCCCAGAATTGCGTCATTGTGATTTAGAAATCTTATAAAGTTTTTTAATGAATTAGCAAAATAAATATACAACAAATTTTAATTAAATTATTGTTATGACAATTTTTCTTTGAAGAAATTACCAAGTTTAACTGAAACTAATTCGAATTGTGAAAAAGTTGATAATGTATTTAAAAATAAACCTTTATTTAAATAAATATACATAATATACGCTTTGATTAAATTGTAACCTAAGTTATTTTTAAATTTTTAGTTTTTTTTTTTAATTGGGTATGTTTTTATTTAACTTTATGATTTGTAATAATTTTATTAAAACTAAAACAAACAAAGTTATGAATGTGTTAATAAATTTTTTGTGTTTATTATTTAGATTCAGCATTTAAAATTTTTTTTTTGTATTAATTTTAAGGAATAATGTTATTTAAATTCGGCTATTGAAATTTTACATAAATCTTGTAAAATAAAACATATTTAAAAATCTGCTCTAAAAAAATTATGTACATACATCCATACGTACATTTACTTGAATTTTTACTTAATTAAAGCAACTCGGCTATTTTATTCATACGCATGGTAACTTAATTGATAAGAATATGCCGCTTCAATAATTTTAATTATTATCTAACTGCACGAGGTTTCCGATGTAAACTTGTAAGTATGTTTAAATGCTTTAAAGAAGTAAAATTAACCTAAATAGCGATAAAGTAAATATGTAGTTTTATAAAAATGCAGTATGGGCTTCCTATTTAACAATTTTGTTTTTGTTATTAATTTTAGTTCATAGTGGAGCCTTGTATTAATGATTATTGGTCGAGTGCAAGAAATATATATATACATATATGGTTTAAGAGGTTTTAATTCCCCGAATTTGAAAAATTCTTAAAGAAGCTGTAAAAATCTTTGTGTATTATTTGAAGAGGGACAGAATGGTACAGAGAAGTAGAGCCAAAAGTGTATAGAAAAATAAAAGTTCCCGACTTTACTTAGAAGAAGAATTTTAACTTTTTAATTGAAAATTATTCCAGCATATGTATTTTAAATATTTTAAATTATGTACAAAACATAAAAAAATAAGGATATTAAGGAATATTATGAAGAATGCTTGATTTTTCAATTATCATTTCTAAATCAAATTTAATTGCATCGACGGGATATTAAGTGTATTACTTAGTTTACTTTTATTATTGATCATTGAGGAACTGAATCCGGCTCTGAAATAACATACGGTTTTTTATATACTTATTAGTTCAACACACTGAGCATTTGATCATATTAACCCAGAACTTGTTGATTTCTTTGCGCAATAGAATATGTACTTATAATATTATAGGCATTTAAATAATTTGTTTGGGTATATAAGGTATTTATATATGTAGATATTATTGTGTATTTAAATACATTTTGAAATATAAAATAATATATGTATAAAACATAAATTTATCGAAAAAAATTAAAAAGCGCTTAGAATTTAATTATGTATTTTATGTGACAGACTTAATTTTTTGTTTAGGAAACATGTTTTTTATTTTCGTTAGAATTTTTTGTAGAAAGACAAAACAAAAGAAAAAAATCACTAAGGGTTGCTGTCATGCTTGAAAGAAGTCGAGTTATAGATTCTTTTGAAAGAATTTTAAGTACTAAGTAAACTCTTTTGGATTTATTTCGGTTAATATATGTATTTAAATTTTAATAATTTTATTTTATAAATTTACTTTTTCTTATTTTGTATGCAAGAATATGTAAGAGTAACACAGTGAGTGAGATAGAGAGTAATACTCTAAAATTTGTAATTTTGATATTTTGCATAATTTTCCAAATAATTTTATTTTTATGAAAGAAAATCCTATTTAATCAAAATTGGTATGTGTGGCAGGACATCCTTTTACATTGAAATAAAAGCGTGCTCTAAGAGCAGATTCATAATAAAAATTTAGTGCTAAGAATAATACTATTGTGGGCAGTAAAATATACGTTTCTTATTAAATTTATAAAACCTACCTATAAATATTAAATTTTAAATTAAATTGAATTTTTACATTTTTGGTAATTACTCATGAATAAGTATTGAGGTTTAGTGATTCATAAGAAAGTAAACTTATTATTATAGTTTGTGAATACATACATATGTACATACATAAATTTACCCCTAAAATCTTTTCTTCATCATTGGTAGTAAACTAAATCTAAATTTGCATATTATTCAAATAATTCTTTATCCAAACTGATGAGCTTTTATTTTTTATTCAATAATTCAGTTATGTTTTTTACGCTATAGGCATTCGTTGTTAAAAAAAAAATATTTCAAATATAAAAAATAAAATTGAATTAAATTGAAAAGCAAAAGGAAAAAAAACTAAATAGAAACAGAACAAAACAATAGTGTACAAAATATTTTCATACAATAAAATTATTGTTCATAAATTGCTTACGAAAAAAAGTCAGTGGGTACAAGAAATTACGAGTCGGTCGCGATTAAAATATTTAATAAAATAAGAAAAAAAAAATAATATATTGCAGTCATTTATTATAATAATATTGAGTTGAGGTCAAGTTCAATATACCCAACTCCTTAAATAAATAAAATTTTCAGAAGAAATAAAAAAAAAAAGAAAAAGAAATATAAAATCACTGTTTATTCCATTTTTACAAGACAATTCCAGGTTGATTGTAAATTGAGTGTGATTTATTATTTTCTGCTGTTTATTTACACGCACACAAACTTATATACAGTTTATTAACCCTTATCACTTTTTATACATACATATATAAGTACATATTATGATAGTTTCTCATTCATTGTTAAAAATATATAAGAAGAGGAAAAAAATAAGTTTTAAATAAATAGGGTGTGTACTTTAATTGGAAAAAATTATGCAAAGTAAAATTTTTAAATTTAAAAAACTTATATTTAGTAGTTATTTCTGTAATCTTAAATTTCTCTTAAAAAGCAGTGTTCTATATTTATAAATGAAAAATTTTCATAAAAGGAAAGGTGATTGTTTGCAGGAATTTTAGGTTTTTTTAAAGAAGATTGTTTGTAGGATAATTTAAATAACAAAATTTAGATATCTATTAAAATACTATTAATTTTAGAATATTAGTTTAAAAAAAAATTGTTTTTGGAAGAAATGTGCTTGTGGTGCACTGGCTATGGCACCCATCCTTTTACCGAAAAATTTTGTGTTCAAATCCCGGTAGGTCGCTATAAAAATTATAAATAAAAATTTATATTAAACTAATTTGCAATTTTCTCTATAGTATTCGATATTCAGTACCAGCAAAATAGAACCAGAAATATCAATAATCTTATATGTTTAATATAAAGGAAAAAAATACAGCAGGCTAATCACCTACAATGCGTATATCTCATATATAATACTAGGCTTAAAACTATTATAAATTGTATATGGTTAAAACCTGATTATTTTTATGAAAGTTTTGTTTAACTTTAAAGTGTTAATTAATATTTACATACAATGCTATTCTTTTATTAAAACAACAAAATAATATTAAAGTAAAAGTATTTAAGCACACTAACTACATCTAATCTAATGAGAAAGATGTTACCATCTAATTTTAGTTAGCATCCACCTACATAATATGATGCTAAAAATTAATTTTTCATGTATTTATTCTGATTTCATGTTGACTGATCATTATTTTATTAGTGAATAAGGTCATTAATAGGCTGTAGCGGAGAAAAAAAATAATAAATAAATTTTAACAAAATAAATAATACTTACATGTATTTTTCATTTTACTTTCGAAAATCTTCTTTTAGGGGTGCAACTGTATGAGTTTATTACTCTTAACTTTTGCAAAAATAGTAATAATAATTTTTACTTATACATATATTATAAGAAATAAATATTTTAAAAAAGAATATTCTTCAAATATTAGCCGATGCCGCTTTTATTATTACTTTTTATATTTTTAATTTGTAATTTTATTTGCATATTTCTTTTATATTAAAAAATACCGTCTGTTTAATTTTAATTTTACTTTATTCACGTTAAATAATCAATTAAATTGAGCAAGTATTAAAGTAATAAATAACTATAAGAATTCGGAATCAGGCTTGTTATAGAAAAAGTAATTCTGTTCCAGTGCCATATTTTCCAGTAATATTTTCTTTAAAATTCCTTATTTGCAGTCTTTTAAATACTGTTTGATTGAGTATTCTAAGAATGAATCTTTTAATTGTTTGTACGAATTTTCGTGTGATAATGAAAGTTGTTTTTATGCAAAATTATTTCGAAATCGAAAATATTTTTTTTTTGTTATAATATGTATATATACATTTATGACATATAAATATACCACGTTTGTATACGAAAAGAACCTCTTTAAAAATGTTCTATTGTTCTAATTGAGTGTTTAACCTGCTTAAGATAATGAAATCGATTTTGGGGTAATAAATTTGAGGTTTAAAATGTATTTTTTGTTGTTTCTTTCTTTTTGTTTTGCTTTTTGTTTCGTTATTGATATTCTCATTTTTATTTTATGTTTTTATGGCTATTAAAATTCAATTTACATAAATTCTTCAATTTTAGTAACAGTTAGGTCGTGCTTGGTAAAGCATTTAAATAAAATTTTATTTTTATTATACAAAAATTTCTAAAACAAATAAATAAAAAATTTTTATCGTATTTTTATTTTTAGGCGTTTATAATTTTAATTTATAACCAAAATTAAAAATTAATTATTTTTAATTCAAATTGAATATGTGAAAATAAAAAAATTATCATTTAAAAAGAAAAACAAAAAAAAATTTTTGGAGAAATTTTAACAATTTGTGGAATATTCTTTACTTACTTGGATTTACTATTGGATTAAGTATTACAAAAATGGGTAAAATATTATTTTTATTTAATTCAATTATAATATTAATAATTATTATAATAAAGTATATTAATCATAATTTATACATGGTACCTTCATAAATTAATGTTATAACATGCGTATTACATTATATTTTAAGTAATAGTGAGGTTATATTCAATAACAATTACTAAATTGTGTACATAATTAAATTTAATTCAATGTTTTAATAAATTTTTGTAATTGACATTAATTTGGAATTAGAAATAAGTACTTAATTAAATTAGAAATTAGTTTTTTTTTTTAAATTAATCCAAAAATTTTCATTTTTTTTTTATGCTACCCTTGAATTGTAAATAATTTAGTTTTTTTTTTTATTTTAGTTTTATCTAATACCATATATATCTATTAGACCATCAAGCTCAGAGAGCAAATCAAAAATAAATTCCAAATACTTATATGAAGTTTAAATGGGAGGTGTGTCGGAATTTATTTGTGTGAAGGAAATTGATCAATATTTTTAGCTCTACCGATTCTACATATTTTTTGAAATTTAAAATTTAAATTTCAAAAAAATTCGGTTGGTAAATTTCATCTGAAAAATGCATTTAAAACAAAAAAAAAAATTACAATTTTTAGCGCAGACAACTTTTCTTGTCTTCCAAATGAAAGGCCGTACTGAATTACATAGTAAAATTTTTGAATAAAGAATATAATTTAAAAATAAATTGAAGAAAAAAGCAAAGAAATAATAATTATAATCTTAAAACTATACTAAATAAAATGAGTCTCATAAAGAATACTCAAAAATTTCAAAAAAAAAAATTAAAAAAATATTTCAATCGGCATACTTCGAAAACATAAAACATTAAGAATTATTTTTGTATTTTTTTCCGATTCAAAATTTCGGAAAATATTTTCAGCTTGGGGGCCTGATAGATATATATGGCATTAGTTTTAGCTTAGCCATAGCAGACGATATTAATTAAGTAAATATGCTGTATTGTTGATCATTAGTGAAATTATAGATAAATATTGTTGTTTTAGATTTACATGCAAAATTAAACAAACATAAAAGGGATGTGCTGAAATATTTTCTTCTATTTTCTTCTTGAATTCAATATCAATTGGAATATTAAACTTTTACGTTGAGTTCAATTGAAATACCGTTAAATCGAATACCGATTCAATTTTTATTATCACATTTAATAATATACTTAATTGTTTCTCTAAAATAAAGAAAATTGCAGTTTCGAATCATTTTTTCAAGAAATAAATTATAATTTTATAAAATTATTGTGCAATATTATTTCAACATAATTGATTTTCGTTTCACTAATATCATAATTATCTTATCATTAACGATTCATCATTGATAATTTTATTTGTAAAACACAATTCTTAAGTATTTGCAATTCTAAAAAAAGAAGAAATAAAATCTGATTTACTGGTTAATTAAATTTAAGTAAATTTTATAAATTATTTAATTATTTTTGTTCAAATTGGAAAATTTTCTAGAATATAAAAAACTTTTTGTTTCAAATGCAATTTAATTTTTCTAAAAATGGTAATAATTGTTAATTAAATGTTGAAATTAATGTTATATTTTTATGTTTAAAGCTTGTAGCTACAACTACATTATAGTGATTACATTATTACCTTTACTTTATTTTCCAGTTAAATTACTTTATACGATATAGGTAATAAATAGTTACCACATAAAAATTTCCTTATCATTTATTTTATTTTCTTACGCTTTAAGCGGAAATTTTCCTTGTTAATGATTTTAAAACTATATTGTAAAATTATTATATATGTATGTATACACTTGAAATTTTTGTAACATTTGTAAATTTTGTACGGGTTAAAATAATTATTTCCTTGGCATAAATAAAATATTTCATAATATTATGAACATAAGACTAAACACAAGAGTTATTATTAAAAATTTGAATGGAAAATTAATAAAAAACCAAATCGATTTTTTAGAATTTTTTTCTAATGAAGCAAGAAAATTCTTTGTTTTTAGCTTTAAATGAAATTTAACGCTCGTTCTATAAAATAAACACTTAAAAAATTATAATTGTATTATTTTTTATTATTTCAGCAATTTATTGGTATTTTAAAACAAAATTATGTTTACTTATATTAGCAATAATAGACTATCATAATGCAGAAATGTTAGAAAGAAAATCAAGGCCGAATATAATTTTTATTTTAGCAGATGATCTAGTAAGAATTTTTGTTGAATACAAAATTATATTTTACTTAACGAATTATTTAAAATTGAATTTATAATTTTTATATATTTACAATATATATTTTCAATATTTTAGGGTTTTAATGATTTAGGATTTCATGGTTCATCACAAATTCCCACACCAAATATTGATGCATTAGCATATTCTGGTTTAATATTAAATCGTTACTATGTAACACCAATTTGTACACCATCAAGATCTGCTCTTATGACAGGAAAATATCCAATTCACACTGGTAAAACGAATTATAATATATAAACTGCAAAGACTGTATAGAATTGAAATTTTAATTTTTATTATTAAGGTATGCAGCATGGTGTAATTTACGGTGCTGAACCGAGAGGATTACCTTTAACAGAGAAAATTTTACCGGAATATTTAAATCAATTAGGGTAAATCTTATTACGTTATAAGTATTCTTATTATTATTAATATTGTAATATTGAATTTCTAAAGTTATTCATCTCATATTTCTGGGAAATGGCATCTTGGACATTATAAATCAGTATATTTACCTTTGAAAAGAGGTTTCAAAACACATGTTGGTTTTTGGACTGGCCATCATGATTATTTTGATCATACAGCTGTCGAAAATCCTCATTGGGGTCTTGACATGAGAGATGGTATAAACTATTATTGAAATTATAACAAAATTTTAATTTCATGATAATTTAATTTAAGGTTATCAAATTGGTTATGAATATCATGGAAAATATACGACAGATGTTGTAACGGATGAAGCTGTTCGTGTTATTAAAGCTCATAATTCTACAAAACCATTATTTTTGTACGTTGCTCATGCAGCTGTTCATTCTGGTAATCCATATAATCCTTTACCGGCACCGGATCAAACAGTTGCAAAATTAAAACACATACCTGATTTTAAAAGAAGAAAATATGCAGCAATGCTATCGAAATTGGATGATTCAGTTGGAGAAATAATAAATACTTTGTCAGAGCAAAATATGTTAAAAAATTCTATAATTGTCTTTAGTACTGATAACGGTGGACCTGCACAAGGATTTAATTTAAACTATGCCTCAAATTGGCCATTAAGGGGAGTTAAAAATACATTGTGGGAAGGTGGAGTTCGTGGTGCGGGATTAATATGGTCGCCATTAATTGAAAAATCTAAACGTGTTTCAGATCAAATAATGCATATTGTTGACTGGGTGCCAACATTTTTGGATGCTGCTGGATTTTACGAGTTTAAGTAAGAGAAGTTGTCATGATATTAGTTAGTCAAAATTTTTTCTTTTAATATTTAAGTATAAATATAGTATTTTAACGAAATATTTTATTTTAGAAATTTAACACAACCTTCATTGGATGGAATTAGCGTTTGGAGTGAATTATCACGTGATTTAAAGTCAAAACGAAAAGATATTTTACATAATATTGACGATATTTGGGGTAGTGCTGCTTACACAGCTGATGATTGGAAAGTTGTAGTTGGTACAAATTATGATGGACAATGGGATGGTTGGTATGGTCCGTCGGGTAATCGTGACGATCTAGATTATAATATAAATGAAATTTATAAATCATTAAGTGGTAGGGCAATAAATAAATTACATATGATGCCTACAATGGATGAAATAAAATCTTTAAGAAAAAATGCACAAGTTGATTGTTCAACAGTCAATCGGTCCTATTTAAGAAAAGGAACTGTTTGTGAACCATTAAGTTCACCCTGTTTATTTAATATTAAAGATGATCCATGTGAACAATATAATTTAGCAGAAATTTTTCCTAGTATATTAAAAAGTCTTTTAAAAGATATTGAAAGATATAATGCAACAGCTATACCACCAAATAATAAACCACGTGATCCAAAAGGTGATCCAAGACTTTGGGACAATACATGGACTAATTTTGGTGATTATGAATTTCCACAATCTGAGAAAATTATATAAAATTAGTATTAGGATTAAGAGATCTTGTTTTAAATTTTGTTAATTATATAATAATTTAGAATGTAAATGAAATTAATATATGCAAAAACATTATAGCCTTAATGGAATGTTAGTTATTTTCTAGTTTATTCACAAATTGACCATTGATCAAGATCTGACCATTGGTGCAGTGGTTATGGCACCGGTCCTTTAACCGAAGGGTCTCGGGTTCAAAACCCGGTCAGGTCACTATAAAAATTATATTCAATATTATTATAACTTAATATACAATACTAATAAATATTATACAAGTAATTTTCAAAATATTCGTAATATTCGATATTAAAAAAAAAACTAAGAAAAATAAACAGTAAATATTAATAACCTCAAATAATTTATATACATAAATAAAAACTACGGCAGGCTAGTCACCTACCTAGTTAAACTCTATGACGCTATGAAACTATTGCATGAGAAATCATGCACTAGCCCTATGCTCCTTCTAGGAGTGAACAAAGGAAAAAAAAAAAAATTCACAAATTAAGGGATTGTATCTGCATTAGAAAACGAAGCGTCGAAATTAAAGGAAGATATAACTCAGTTTCCAGATCATACATTTTTTAATGATGTGTTATTTGAGTTCGGTCACTACGGCCATCCCTTTCGATAAATAAGATAATTAATAATGTTATTAATTATCTAACCTAAATAAGAAAAATGTCAATTTTAAAAACCACTATTTTAATTTCAATAATTTTTACGTGCATATAGTTGCCAATATAAAATAAGTAAGGGTTAAAAGTGTAAGTATGATTGTGGGTATCAATCTGGGTTACTTTTTTAACAAAACAATACAAGTATTTTTCAATTATATAATATTTGTATATAATTGCATATTTATTCAAGTCTATTTATTTCCTACTTTATTATTTTTTTTTTTTTGATTTTCTTTTATGCATTTACTAATAATTAATCTGGCATGTATATAAAACTATGTATATGAATATTTCGATATGAAAATTTATTTTAAAGCTAATGTCTTAACTCAAGTATTAGAAATATACAAAATAAAAACATTGATTTAAAATTAACTAGAATTGAAAAAAAAAAAGAAATTGCATTGTTGTTTAGTTTGCTATTTTTGTTTGTTTTTTTTTTTTAAATCAAACTTAATATTGATATCCACCATTTTCAGCTATTGTTCCACTTTGACCTCCAGTTGGTCGATCATAATTATAACCATCACTACCACCACCACGTCCACCATTACCACCCCGACTACTGGCACCGTTTCTTCGAGATCCATCGCTACCGTTTCTACCACTATCTGGTCTACCATTTGAATAGCCATTTTGCCCCAAATCTTGACCACTTGGTCTACCACTTGAATACCCGTTTTGTCCTAAATCTTGACCACTTGGTCCTCCATTAGAATAACCATTCCGACCAGAAGTTTGACCACCATTTCTGCCAGAACTACCGCCACCAGGTTGCCCACTTGAGTAGCCATTTTGTCCCAAATCTTGTCCATTAGGTCTGCCGCTTGAGTAACCGTTTTGTCCGAAATCTTGACCACTTGGTACTCTTCCACCACCATTTTGTTCACCAGGTCGACCACCTGAATACCCATCTTGACCTAAGTTTTGTCCATTCGGTTGTCCACTTTCATAACCATTTTGACCTAAATCTTGTCCACCATCTGGTCTACCGTCTGAATACCCATTTTGACCAAAGTCTTGTCCGGTTGGTCTACCGCTGGAATAACCATTTGATCCTTGATTTTGCCCTCTTCCTCCAGATCCACCACTTCCTCCATTTCCACCACTTTTTCTACCGCCGTTTCCATTTGGTCTACCGCTTGAATAACCGTTTTGACCTAAATTTTGACCATTTGATCCACCACGTCCTCCTTGACCTCCAGGTTGATTATAATTATACCCATCGTCTCCACCTGCTCCAGTTCCCCCAAAACCTCCAGAACCACCTCCAAGCCCACCACCAAATCCACCGCCTCTTCCGCCAGCCCCACCAGCGTTAGCTTCGCCTTCGTAACGTACCTGTGGTCTATAACCCCCTTGATCGGCTTCATATTCAACAATCTAAATAGAAAAAAAATGATATATAGTTAGGATTTTATGTCAAAAAAAGTCTTGCAGCCTATGTCCAAAATTGAAAAAAAAGAAAAAATTGAAATGAAAAATATTAAAAACTCTTACTTGCTTCCTACCATCAGGTAATAAAACATTATATTGACCAGTTGTGAAATCACCATCACGCATTTCTGAATGCCCAAAAGATAAACCACTTGGAGCATCCTCAACCTCATAGCTAAACTCATATTTAGCTGGTTCCTGTTCAAAAATTTTTAAATTTTTTGTCATCTCAAAAATTTTGGTTTTTTTTTGAAGGGGACATTTTAAAAACAAACTTAATATAAACAAAACCCAAATAAAGGGGGGAGGAAACAAGTAAGATTTTTTTTGTAAGCATTTACATAATGAAATAAATGCTGCGCTCCACTTCCAAAACCATTATCCTTATTAATTAAGCAGTCAAATAAATTTAGGATATGATTAAATGTTAAAGGGCTATAAAATTAGTCATACTTACATTACTTCCATCATCACCTGATCCATTTTGTCCAAAGCCATTTGATCCTGATCCTGGAGCCCCATATGTATCTGATGGTCTACCAGCGCCGTTACGGCCACCGCCACCACTACCAGCACCGCTCCCACTACCAAAACCACTCTGACCAGATCCTGGGGCCCCGTATGTATCGGAAGGTCTACCAGCACCGCCGCGACCACCATTTCCATTGTATGAACCTGCACCAGATCCTGGAGGACCATATGTATCTGACGGTCTTCCTGCACCATTTCGACCACCACTTCCACCACTACCTGGAGCGCCATAAGTGTCTGAAGGTCTGTCTGCTCCAGTACCTGGAGCACCATAAGTATCCGATGGTCTGCCGCCAGAACCGCCAAGTCCAGGAGGTCCATAGCTTGAAGATGGTCTATTGCCATTTTGACCACCGCCTTGTGCGCCGCTTCTGTAACCATTTCCATTTTGTCCTGGAGCTCCATATGTAGACGAAGGTCGGTTTCCATTGGATCCACTACCAGCGCCGGGAGGTCCATAAGATGATGAAGGTCGGTCACCATTTTGTCCTGTTCCTGGAGCACCATATGTGTCTGAAGGACGTCTACCAGCACTTCCACCATTTCCGTTTCTATACCCATTACCGCTTTGTCCATTTGAAGGTGGGCCGTAAGATGATGAAGGCCGACTAACACCATTTCGATTACCACTACCACCAGCACCACCACTACCACTTCCAGAACCGAAGCCTGGAGCACCATATGTAGATGATGGTGCTCCTCCAGGTCCAGATCCTGAGGCTGGTGGACCATATGAATCAGATGGTGAACCACCGCTTAGATCAGCTCCACCACCAACATTTCCACCGCTGCCTGGAGGCCCATAACTTGATGATGGACTACCGAAACCATTTCCACTGCCTCCACCTTGCCCACCACCACCACCTGGTGGTAAATATGTATTAACAGGTGGTTCAGCATAAGCGGTCGTTATTAAAAATAGCAAGTATAAAATCTGAAAAAAATCAAAATTTAGATGCAATATTATTTTAATTATATGCAATTTTCTTTATATACAATAGAATTTTCGAAATGTTTTTACAAATTTTACCATCTGCAAAAATTGTATATGTATGTAAAGCAATTCTCAAAAATCTCATTACATAACTTGCATAAAAATTTCTTAAATTTTTCATTCTCTACTATTTTTTTTAATGCTTTTACTCTCTAAACCCATTTTAGGTTTATATAACGTTTGTTTTTTATAAAAAAAAATATTTTAAGTGAAATATCGGGGAAGAAACAATAGAACAATAAATCAATTTGTCAACAATCATTAACGATCATCATAATTTTTTATGTGAAAATGATTGTAGCATGATTGCATATAATAAGGTTTTCAGTTTATTGTTATGTTTGATTCCAATGCATTGATATGTTGACTATGGGTTGGATTGCATTACAAACATTGATACTCGTATGATGATAATTTTAGTATCAAATGCATTCAAATGAAAAATGATTGATGAGTAAAATGTATATTTCCTTTAAACTTCGAATTGATTCATAAAACTTTAATTAACTAAAGAATACCAAATTTGGAATACATCAATTGTTTATAAAAAAAGTAAATTTTTTGACGAAAGCACTTGATTTCGATTGATTGAAACCTACATAATATATACCTTAAGATTAAACATATCTTAAAATCGAAGAACAAGATAAAAATCTTTAAAATGAATTTTATTGTATCTTTGAGATTTGATTACAAATAGCTTAAAGGAAAGGAATTGTGATTTTTCTTAGTGTTCTAATTTTGAGGAATCTTTCGCTATACAATAAAAATAATATCAGATTTATATTTTAGGATCTTATTTTTCGGGAGTCTTAAAACTAGTGCGTGTCTTAAATATTTTTTAAATTCAAAAGTTTGCATTTTTGTGTAAGTGAAAGCAATAATTCTTAAATCTATATAAAATAAGAATCATTAAATAGGATCTTTAAGGTACTCTAATATCTAAAACCTTATCTATACCCTGTTAGAGCTACTACGCGTCTTTGATAGTTGTACTATTTTCGTAAGGGATGTTAACAATTATAGATTATGTTATAAAGGTCAAAAATTTAAAAAATTAAAAGTAAAAAATATGAAAAATATAAAAAGTGTGATTTTATTACTTAAAAAATTTTAAAGGATTGAAAAGTTGTTTTTATTAAAGCTTTCTCTCAGAATTCATACTTCATATACATTCTCTCAGAATTTATCATTATATAATTTATACAATAACCATAAGGATTTCTTAATTCTGAGAGTTCAATACATTGAATTGTTATAATGTTTCTCAACACTAATCATTCAACATTAATTTGTTTTTAAAATAATTAGTATTTAATTAAATTATCGCAGTTTCAATAATTTCCCGTATACGACTGATCCTCTTATTTTACATTTCAACTAAATTTTGTAATTAATATTATTCTTTAAATGATTAATATTATTTTTGAATTTGCATATAAATGGCTATGATAAGAAATCATATATTTCGTAATTTTAACTAATTTATCAAAACTTATTGTTATATTATATATATGGCCTATAATATAACCGGCAGGGCGAGAGACTGAGTACGTTCTAACTTAAAATAAGATTTAATTTTTTAGTTGACTATTCAAATTGTTATTAGAATAAAATTAATTAGAATCTAAAGAATTCCGGCATATTTATTTTTAAAGAATAGCTGTGATTTTTAAAGAATTTGATTAATTTGACTAAATTATAAAGTTATCAATGGAACGAATTATTTGTAATGGAGGAATTAGTTGGGTATACTATTTATTACACTTACAAATAAAGTATAGTAAATTTGTAATTCGAAAAATAATCATAGAATAAAAATTTGGTCCTGATTTAAATTTAGAAAATCTTATACTAATATTTTTTACTCGGAAAATGTATAATAGTTTAGTTCTGTATAAAAAATTATTTTATTGTTAAATTTTTATTTTATTAATATTTTATGTAAAATATTTAAAAATATTTTTAGACAATTTAAAAAAAGAATAAATTTTAAATTTTATACAAACTGACCTTAATCATTTTTGACATCGAATAATTCTTTAAAAAAGAGTTTGAGATCTTAATTTTTATTTTTTAACACAAGTTTTCGTAATTGAAATTTAAAAATTGCTTCTAACTGTTTTAACAATTTTTTTTTATCTTTTAGAATTTTCGCGTTTCACAAATTTGTTCTTTATTGTTTGTTTGTTTGTTTTTTTTTTACTATCTTTGGTTTATCTTTTTTTTTTATCTAAGATTTTTATTAACTATATTTTACTAATTTATTTACAAATTCTTTAAAATTTTATTATTATTATTATTAAGATGTTTTCCCGAAAATATAAAAATTCTGACTGAATTAACAATCGAAATTGGTCTACTATTTATATCAAAATCTTTAAAACAAAAATCTATATTATTATTTTTATTATTATAAGTAACTATTCTACTATATAGTATTTATTACTATTTTGAAGATTTTATGCTCAATATATGTAATATATAAATAATTATATATATGTATATAATACAGTATAAAATAATAATATAAAATATTAGTAGAAACAAAAAAACAACAAATGATCGTGGTTATATTTTTTGTTGTTGTTCTTCTTATTATTATTTCTTTTTTATTCCTAAAATGAGTATGTGCTGATATACTCAAGATATTTTTATGTGTAACATCATCTACTTTTTTTTTTTTTTGTATTCATTTTAAATTTTCAATTCTACACAAAATTTTCGTCAACATTCAAAAAAAAAAAATTAAAAGGAAAAGCAAAAAACTAGAAAACCAAATACTAAAACAAAGAATAAACGAAAAGTTAGAAGAAGAAATCCTCTCTAACGTGCACCATATGGAAAATGGAAAAATCTTATTAATTTTTGTTTTTTTTTCTTTTCTTCTTTTATTTTTATTTTCATGCAATTGCGTTTTTTTCTTATAATATTTTTGTTTTAATTTTCTTGAATATTTGAAGAAGATATTATTATGATAATATATCTCTTATACAATAATATTATGATTGTTATACACTATCAAACAAATATTATAGATATGATTGTAAAATAAAAATAAGAACGAAAAAAAAAACCAACAAATAAAATGAATATTGTTGTTGCATATTATATACTAAATAATTATTATAAAATAGTAAGTATAGTATTAGTAATAAGCAATAAAAGATTACAGTAGTTAATAAAAATAATAATAATAACAATAAAAGTATAAATGAAGAAAAAAAAAATGTCTTATAGGAGAAAAATCCCCTTTTTCATTTAAACATTTTACTATAAGAATATTAATATAGAAAATTTGGGGGGTGAGTAAGAAGATTTCTGTTAAGGAGTAGCATTCTTACAAATAATTCGTAATTATTATGTGGTCCTAATTGTTTACGGGAATATTTTCTCTAATTTTCCCGTAATTAATATTTTTAATTTATTCTAATATTTTGTGTAAATAAGAAATCTTTTATTTTAATTTTCTGACTATCAATAAAAAACTACATATATATATTTAATTCATATATGGTTATTTAATTCACATTTTGTAGTTGATTAATTTTTCTAAAGGGTTTTCAATGCGATTAAGAAATTTTGAAATAAATTTATAATTTATTCTTGCAGTTTATTTTTTTGTAAAACAGCAGTAGTAATTTGTATATTTTTGTGTATTTCGAAATAATATCCCACAAATATGGCCAAAAATAAAGATCCAGTGATTCGGTAATCAGTGCTTTAATATTATACATATATTATAATTTAGGGCATTAAAAAAAAGGTAAAATTTCTGTTTGGAACTATATGGAAATCTGAGATACAGCATTTTTAACAAATTTTCACGAAACTTTTAAATACTTGTCCATAAATTTTTGCTTATAGATTCCGTTTCCAAAAAGATAGAGGCTTCAAACAAACAGTTTTTGAATAAGGAGGTCTTCTGGAGTATCAAGGTCTTTTGGAGTATCAAGCATTTTTATTTTAAAAAAATTTTAAATTTTTTTCTTGTTTTTATTTTGTTTATCCCGAAAATTTCGTTTAAAGAAAAAATTTTAGTTGCACTTAACCATCATTGGAAAACTAATTTTTTCAACTTTCTTATGTATCTGTCCAGTAAAGATTCCTGTGTAATTATTTCCTATCGTCAATGGTAATAACACATACGTTAATTGTTTTTATTTGAAAAACAAAAAATTTTTTAAAAATAGCTTTATTTAATAATTTAAGTGAATGTTATTCAAAAATACGAGTCGTTTCTTTTTGGAACAAAATTATAAAAAATATATTGTTTCTTGCAAAATATAAAAAGAACGAAACATTTTTATAAAACTTACTGACTTAAGTTGTTTAATAGGGTGTTAATTTACATAATTCAATTAATCTTCTGTTTTCATGTAAAATCAAAAAAAAAAATTTAGAAAACATCTTTAATTTTACGATTAATTTTTTAATTTACTGCAAAAGTCCTTAAAGTCATAGCACTTTAACAAGTTTTGCTATTAACCTTTAATTACAATTTTCCATTTATTTATATTTGCCTATTTTTAATTTAAAAAAAATTATCATAAATTTGACTAGCATACAACTTTTCGAATATTGTACTCACACTTATATATATATGCACAATCATATGTTATAGGTACATGGATGAGGTGACTGAAGTGTAAAAACGAAAATGAAAATCTACCAACTATGTTTTCCCTTAATCAGAATGGAAATCTCTAAAGTAGCGTTTAAAACAAAACAAGATAAGAAGAATAATATCATGATTAATTTTTTTTTTGCATGAGTATGTAAGAATATGAAATACACACGATCTCTCAGTTCCTTCAATAACTTTGTTTTAATAAATATTTAAGTATGTTACATATTTAATTTTAAGTATAAAGTAATTATATATGTGCATATAGGATGTGTATGCATGCATAATATATAAAAATAATTTCATCTTTATTATTATCATTATCATCGTGATCGTTTTTACCAACTTCAAATATCTGAAACAATACAAATCTACTGCACTATATCGCACATACTTACATATGTACATTCATGCATGTCTGTATATTTGAGTAATAAAAAGTGTTTTGATTTATTTTTTTTTTTAATGCCGAAATTTTTTTCTCATTTATCGTCAGTTTTTTTTCGGTGTCTTACAATAAAACCTACAAGCAAATGATGTTGGATAGATTAAATAGAAAAAATGTCTGAAAGAAAATTTATTTCTGTTAAATTTTTTCTGAAAAAATTATAGAAAAAAATTAAATATGACGATCAAATGATTTACTGTTCGATATTTGAATTAAATAGTTACCTAAGTTTTCGAGATTGCAATAGGAAACACAAAGTTAACGCAATATCGTAATTTTTGAACGCAATGCAGTGAAAAACATTTTAAACCCAATGAAACGAAATATTGAATTAAAAAATTTCAGGACTACTTATATTCCAGTATTAAAAACTACATATATACGTATATATATATTTTGACTTATCAATTAAATATGGTAGCTTCATTTTTCAAAGTCAATTTGACTCTAAATGTCATGTGATTTATCTCACAATATAGCAAAGGCTTAGGTTGTTGAATTCGGTTCTCGCTCTATTTGTAATTTAATTATGTTTTGAGTAGTTTATTTGACACCTGTTAATTCTCTCGTAAGTGTTATCTACAAACATAAATAGAAAAACTCTCTATTCGATTATAATTAGATGTTATTTCATTTGATTTTACATGCAATTTTTTTTTATACAAACGGATACTGTTATTAAATACGAAGAGGTAGTGATATGTGCATAAAATTATAATAATTTATACTGATACGGAATATATGTTATACCCATATGTACGAATTTATTTGCAAGTTTATATATTTTTTGAATTCCTATTGTAATATTATCATATAAGAATCGTGCTTGATCAGTGCTAAAGTTAGATTAAAAATTAAACAAAAGATTCAAATATAGTCAAATTTAATATGTGTAAATTTTTGCATCAACTTACTGTACAATTGTCATATTATTTTAAAGATGGAATCTTATTGTAAGTATATCTACAGATTTAGATTCATTATGTAAATTAAAATATTCCATTATTTTTGTTAATTTTTTATATACATAGGTGTTCGTTTGTATAAACTGAAATTTTGTGGATCATAAAAATGATTTCGAAGATCATTATAAAATTTATTTTTCTTTCCTCCATCAGTTTAATTTAAAGATTTCGCTTTAATTAAAGCAAAGCCCTTTTAATATTCTTACGATACTCTTAATACTATTTTTGACACACCAAGTCATACAAGTAATTTTTTATCTTATTGCTCTGATTGTATGACAAGACGCGTGTTATTTAGAAATTCGTAATTATATTGGTAATAAATTTTAATAAATTAGACTCTTAACATGAATTTATATTTTATATTTAGATAAAATTATAAATTAAAAAAACATATTTGAAATTAGTGGAAAATGAAATTTTAAAATGCTACGAACAATATCCTATTATTTTGCATATTAACTCAATTATAAATATTCTTAATTCATTTATAGTATACTTGATTTGTTTTTTTAAAATAAACAACAAACAAACCCGTAAATAACAAAAAACTTTTAATAACAATACAGTGAATTAACATGACGCCTTTTCAACATGTCGGTTGACATTAAAAGTTCGGCGTGTGCTTATGCTAATCAAATTTTTGTATTGGATATAAATGCATTGTTTTTGTGTTGTATAAGATACTAAAAATACCTTATCTAATTGCTAATTTTTTGAAAAAAAAAAAAAAATATTTTCAAAAATTTTCCCACAAATATTTAAATTTTTTTAGGCAGAATTTAAACAGGATTCTATAGGGTCCTGTCAAAAATTTGACAAAAACGTGGAATTTTCAATGTGAAAATCATTTTATGAATTCAATTTTAACCATCCTATATCCCATTCTATCTTATTTTTAGGCTTATCTACATAATATATAGTGTCACTGTGGTACTACGTGACAAATTAAATTTAAGGCAGTTGATTAATTTTACCTGTTTTTTTTAACTATAAGGGAAAACATCCATAACTTAACATTTATCTCGTAAACGTAATGTACTTTTGTAATCAATATAAATATCATAATAAAGAATTTTAATAAGGATCTCTTAAAATTTTTATTTTTGCAACTTAGTAAATTTGATAATTTATTACACGAAATTAATGTCAGAAGTAAAAATGTCAAAAATA